TTGGACAAATTGCACAATCCCAGGATGGCCCCAGAGGAAGGGAATGACAAACCACCTCTGATTATGTAGAAAACCCTGGAAATGGTCACTGTAAGTCAGAATTGACTTGACAGCACAGATGTTGAAAATAGACATGATTGCCCTCGCCTAAGCTTAATATGCTGGTACAACAACATCCTCCTGGGGCTGGAGGAGGTTTGTGTCTGGCATAATTCAGTTCTTCCTTTTCCTTGCATCTTTTTCAGCTCCTTCTGTCTCTTCTGGTGACTGATCTTGGTCAGCAAATTTGTTGAGCAGGCAGATCTTCTCCAGCAAATCACTGAGATCAGCCAGCACAATGGGGCTCAACCAGCAAATGGATTTAAGAGGCTTCTATTCATTATGAACCCAATATAGCTGCCCCCTCTTTGAGTTAAAATTGCACTGCCTATCTACCAAGTAATATTCCAAATAAATGAGCAAGGCTGCATCCACTGACAGGAGATTCTGATTTTAATTCAGTGATTCCTGTGGTGTATCTCTGGCTGCTTTAATACTTCCTGTAGCATCCACTGAACATTTAGAATTTACTTGGATGGGGTGTAATGCTTCCATAATTTTATTCCATACTACCAATCCAGTCTGACTGTTCAAGAACTCCAGAGAATAATCTGGGATGGAAATAGTTCCAGGAGTCACATAGGCATCCTTCAGTCTCAAAAGACTATGGTAACATGCTGTGAATCGAGGAGTGTCCTCTCCAGAGCATGAAGCCCGGGTAAGGTAATGTGGAGGATAGGCTGTTACCCAAGCAGCAGATCTCCCCTCTCCACATTGCTGAAATGATGCAATGGAAAGGCAAGAGCCAATACAACTGGTTCCAGCAATATCGCAGGAGAAGTTCCAGGAGTGGAGACAAAGGAATTATTTGCATTGCCAGGGTTGCCTGTATTGCCCCAAACAATGGTAGAATGGAACTCTAGACATGTTCTATGTTGTGTCTTCTACCTAGATTGATGAGGACACATGAGAGGGGGAACCATGATGAAGGAACTCTGTCCCCAGGAAAATCATGGATAGAGTCTTGTTGGACTTCCAGCATGCTGGTGAAACTGCATTATTCTTTATGACTTTCAGTTTTTAAGGCTGGCTCTCCCATTTGTTCATAATCTGGTCTTAAATGATGGCTATTTATATCTATTTTATTGTACCTCACTTTGGGATCCCCTTATATAGGCAGAAAGGAAAATTGCTTCCAGTATATTTCATGCTCTTGTACAAAATACACATGTTGTCCTGTTGCTGTCTTGACACAAGAAACAATGATGCAGAGTCTAAAGAGAGGAAATGTATGGTTGTTGTGGGTTTTTCGGGCTCTCTGGTCGTGTTCTTCAGAACACAGCCAAAGAGCCCGAAAAACCCACAACAACCATTAGATCTTGGCCGTGAAAGCCTTCGCGAATATAGAGGAACTGTAGCTTGGCAGTTGGATGCATGTTTGGAAGGCACCCTGCAAAAGGTCTTAAGCTCAGTCTTGACAATGCTAGTTAAAGGGATCAGGTAGAAGATGTTGGGGAAACCCTTTCTTTCTCCTGGGAGACCACATCCAGTTAGACAATATTAAACTAGATGGCAACTTATTTGAGCTGATGTATGGCAGTTCATGAACTGTGCCACGATAATGGCTTCTAACTACATCCCAAGGGCATGTTTGTTACATAATGTTAAGGAGTAGCCCCCATGAAGTGATCTGAACAAACTCCATATCGGTCGGAATCCTGCTGATGTTTGGCTAACGCTGCATAACTTGCTGTGGATAATTGCAGCTAATTGATTAGATGCCAAGGCATATCTCCGCATATGCCTTGTGACACAACCCAGATGCACCCTGACACCTTGTCAATTTGATGCAATTAGCTATGGGAAATCTACATGAGCACTACTAGGATTCCAGTCATTGGTTCATTATCTCAGTATGATTCACTAACTTCATTACTTTACCCAAAGAAACATCAGCTACATGTATCTACGAAGAGGCGCAAAACACATACTTCTTACAAAACTATTTATTTTATTCAAAAGCCATGGGTTAGGGCACAGTTTTCTGACAATCATAAATATAAAAGTTCTTTCAACTTTTAAATGGTTCAAAATGTCGAGCATGTTTGTTATTTTGGGTCACTTAGAAAAGTGACGTATGTTGCAATAATCTCGTGAGAGCTTTCTGATATTTTCCCATCCAAATTCAAGATCCTTGTGCTGCCATTCAAAGTCATGAATGTCTGACAGCCAGATACGGGACAAAAATCTGGTATGTGATCTCCCTTGCTCAGACCGCAGCTATGAATTACCTGCTCAAAGTCTCTATCATCTACGGGGTATAAACTGACACTAGAACTTCTTAGTACCTTTCCACTTCATGGAACTCATTTTCCACACATCTGCATTCTTGTTTTTTTTTTTAATAAGAGGTTTTTTTTAAAAAAAGAACTGTCTTATCTTCTTTTCCTTATTTAAAAACTGATACCATTTTCCTTTTTAAAAAAAGAATCATCAATAAGAAACACAATTAACAGAAAGCAAAATTATTACAATAGCAACAAAACCCACTAACAGCTAAGCAGTTTTCTGGATGCCTAACCGTCTCTTTTCCTACTTCCTTTAATAAACTGTGTACTGTTATCATCTCTTCCTTGCTGTTGCGCTAACAATGCATTGCTTTCATCTTTAATTTTCATATACATATTTTGAGAACTTTATGGTTGAAGCACAGCCTATATGTAATACACAAATAAGCTCAAAAATAGTATCCCCCCTTTCCCTTCCCATCCTGTATTCCTCCTGTGTCAAATCTTGAATATAGAATGTAAGCTTGAGGTAATTTTCCTGCTACTTATCTTCACAGGACACGCTAGGACTGTTTTTGGCTAAAGGACAGTGGTATAAATGCTTTAAATGAAGAAACCAACAAAAACAAATAAGAAGTCATTGCTTAATTATGAAGCTCCAACAACATGCTTTCACGGCCTTCTCAAAAAATTGCATTTTTTTTTTCCAAATGGAGAAATGCTAAAAGTATGCAAGCTACATTGTGGCAACAGGGTATAATTCTGCAGTGGCAGGCTTTAAAGGTAATACAGTACATGCTTCTCACAAGACTCATCTTATTTCGCTATTTGACCAATACACAAAAGCTTGACACCCTCTATATTCCATTTTATCACTCCATAATTGCATAATACCTCCTTGATGTAGCCATATCTGAAAACACAGTTAATGAACGTTTATTGGAGACACTTTGAAAAACATATCTTTCTATTCTTGGAAACAATGTCTTCCATGCAAATAATGCTTATCCTTCTTAATGTATAAAATACTGGCATGAAAACAAAAGATAGATGCCATACAGAGAAAATCCAAGCAGCCAGTTAAGTGTGTTCTTCATCACAAACATCAATCAACAATGATGGTTGGGAAGCAACAACCATGCAAACAGATGTCACTTCTGCAAGTGTGCAAAAGGATTTTCTTCCTGTTAGATACAGTCTCTCACATGAGACACAGCACAAAGCCACAACACTCTAGAGCAACTTTTGGAGGGACATGTGCATTACAACTGGGAGGAGCAACTCCATTAGAACAGCCAACCAATCAGATAAGTCTGCTAAGAGGAAAAGATAAGCTGCTTGAGTGTGGAGAAAGAGGCAGGGAGAGGCTTTCCTGGCCCTACCTTTAAAAGTCTGAAGGTGGCTATGTAGATGCACAAGGCTGCAGCCATCATCAGACAAGCTAATGTTAATTCCTGGATGGTCACCACAGAGGTCTCAATATGCTCTATCTAGGCCAAGCCATGAACCCACTTATCAACTGTGCAAATTGCACAGTCATCATTGTAGTGCCAAAACACAGAAAAAAGCAACTTTTGTGGAGCACAACTCCAGAATCATTCAAACAGCATGGCATGCAGACTGAGGATCTGGGGAGCTAAAGCAAGCCAAGGTTACTTGTGTAGAGGCTGATAGGATTCCTCATTTCCATGTCCACTTTCAAGTGAAGTGATTCCCAAACTTCATTCTCCAGATGTTCTTGAGCTACAACTCCCAGAAATCCTGGCCAGCACAGCTAATGATGAAGGCTTCTGGGAGTTTTAGTCCAAGAACATCTGGGGGACCAAGGATGGGAACCACTGTTCTAATGCCTAAAAGTAATGGTTTTGCTAGGGCAACCCACCCTTTTCTACTGGTCAACACTTTTAAAACTCCCCTGGGTTTGCATTTGGAGCAGACCTAAATCTGTACTAAAATACACCTAGGATTCCATTAATTGTTGCTGAAGAAAGAACCACTGCACATGCTCATGTTTCAGCACATGACTCAGCACATTAACACATGAAGTCATGAGCAGAGTTAATCACAGAGGTTTTACTAACAATCAAGCACATGGTGTCCAGTGTTCTAAGCTATAAGCTTTTCCTGCAGAAAATACCGCCGATCTGACTCAGCATTTGTCCAAAATGGTAGACTGAGCTAAATATATTAATCTGTTCTTGTTATATATATGTAAAGTACTCATTGCAATAAAATATAGTGAGCTAGAAGTGGGAACCGGAAAAAAATACATCGCCAAATGTTGATGATTAATTCTGTCGCTGAAAAGCTTCGCTAACAGTAAATCACTGGGGACACATATTCCGTTCCTTCCTTTTGCCATGCAAAACCCACACAGAGCTATGGCTTGTCTCTCAAGCTTAATTAATGTGCCTTTGATGCTGCAACACAACCGTCAACACAACCTTTGAAAACAAACAACTACTTTACATGAGACTGGGTTTGCATTCTCTCAGAGTCTGACAAAATATGCCTAAATCGGAAAGGAATGATTAAAATGACTCCATGTCATCCAGCAGCAGACCAAGCATTCCACTTATTTCCTTCCTTGCTTGCTTGCTTAATTTATTTATTTAAAGTGATTTCTTAGGTGGAGTAAATTCCAAAAAGAAATAAGTATTGCCTCATGCTTACCAGCTCTTCACGGAGTTGAGAAATGAGCTCATCTCTCTCTTTCAGCTGCAGCTTCAGCGATGAGCATTCATCTTTCATTATATCCTATAAAAACATCAAAAGAGATGTTATAATAGACTTAGAGCTTTTCCTTTGCTCCTGACAAGAAAAGGCAGCTTCACACAGTGCGAGATAATTGCATCCCAGTAATGAAACTCAATGCCCCTCTGTCATGTGTGATATTTTTAATAACATATTCTAAGTCTGCAGTGTAAACAACCTAATGCATCCAAAGATATTATACACACAGAAATGTGGAACAGCTCCCTGTGTGTTAAGTCCATTTTGTTAGTGTCTGATTCTTTTAAGCTTTTTATTGAAGTTCCTGTCAGGCATCTCTTTATTTCAGTGAAGGAACAGATGGCCGTAAAATTTCATAGTACCGTTCACTCAGAACAGCATTGCAAAAATTTCTCTTCAGACGCATTACTGGGGATTTTTTTAAAAAAAAGAAAGAAAGAAAAATCAGACTTTAGATGGGGAAAAGTAAGCAGTACTGCAAGCAGAAATCCAGCAGACATAAAGGAAACAACTCTTCCATGAATGGAAATAAGTTAGCATGACAGTCAACGATATTACTACAAAGTCAAATGTAGTGACCTGTGGGTGAGTTTGGCGCTCTTTTAAATGAGAGTGAAACCACGCATGTTATACACAGGCTGGATTTGACCAGAAGCATGAAATTAAAGTGAGAGAAAAAGAAAATGTTTCCGCTGGAAACCAAAACAGGAGTCTTCACTATTAGAGCATATCTAGACTCTAAACTGTGGGACGAGCACCGTGGCCCTAGAGTCGGACACGACTGGACTAAATGTCAAGGGGAACCTTTACCTTAGACTATATTATTTATCTATCTATTTATTTATTTATTTATTTATTTCCCGCCCATCTGGTCTGGTCAACCACTCTGGGCGGCTTCCAATAAGGTGTATACGATAAAACATAAGGATTTTAAAAACAGTCCATAACACATAAAATAATAAAACAAATAATAAATGAAAGAAAAATAAAGAAAGAATTAAATATTGACAGGAGGGAAGGCCTGAACATACAACCATGTTTTTAGTTGACTCTTAAAAGTGCCCAGCGTAGGGGCCGCACAAATCACCGGAGGAAGGTTATTCCAGAGGAGAGGAGCCACCGCCGAGAAGGCCCGGTTTCGTGTCCTTTCCTTCCAGGCCTCCCTCGGCGTTAGGCTCCTCAGCCTCACCTCACTATAAACTTAAGTGAGCCCATGTGGTTTTAAGAGTGCTGGACTATAACTCAGGAGACCTAGGTTCAAATTCGCAAATTCATTGCGTGGCCTTGGGCCAGTCACAGTAGCTCAACCTGACCAACTTCAGAGGGCTTTTTTCAAGATAACGTCGGGGAGGGAGAGCCACACACATCTATCTCCTAGAGGTTACTGATGAAGAATGAGGACATAAATGCAACTAATACATACATAAAATAAAATAAACTTAAAACCACTGCAATGATCACCTCCTCTCTCCAAGGGACATTCGGAAACTGCAGTAGTATTAGGTGACTCCACACTAAAGGCTTAGAAATAGAATGCAAGCGGGAATAGCAGTAAAATATTACAGTACAGAGAATGCCCCTGTTCAGGATTCTGGAAATCAGCCATGCCTTTTGCTGGGTTATTACATTCCTCTTTCCATATTTTACTCTCAGCACTCGATGGCAACTGAGCATGCTCGATTCCCAGTGACTTGTTTTCCATTGCCCACCACTTTTTTCACATCTCTCCTACAGCTTTCCTGTATTTCTGGAAAAACTGAAGTTTCTCCTGCCCTTCTGATCCCTTTTTGTGTGTGTTTTATTAGCTCTGTTTTTGCCACATAATTGGTTCTTAGAAAATGAGTTTGCTATTTGTGTATACACTATTTCTGTGGACATGGGCTACCTGAATATCCGTACTTGAAGAATGAGTTTACAATTGTACATAGGATTGTGGTTTCTGCCCTACTCCATCCCTCCTGACGTGCAGGAAGATGGAAATCACCAGACACCCAACACAATAGATAAACTGTATTTCTCAAGACCTTTCAAGAACATTTGGGAATCTAAGGTTGAGAACCACTGATCTAGATGGGCAGTTGTGGCTCACCCATATTGATCATAATAACTGCATACTATCAAGTTGATACTGACTTATGATAACTTTTCCAAAATTTTCTAGGTAGAGTACTGAAATGGTTTCCCATTACCTTTTTCCAGGGACACTTTGGAACTGTTGTTCCCCCCAAAACCATACAGGCTTCTTTTTCTACAACACGTGAGAGGGCCTTCTCTCTGGCTAATCCTAGGTTATGGATTGCACTCCTTCAGGTAAAAGTAAAACTATTATTTTTAAACTAGCTTTTAAACTACATTGGACATTTAAGCTGGACTCTTCCCTTTTTTAATATAAATTTTTAAATTTTATTTTATACAAAAAATACACAAAAAATACATACATAACAACAAAAATACAAAAAAATACAAGTAATAGTGCTTATTATAAACTAAATTCTAACGTGCACCCCATACCCACGGGACTCTATTTACTATAATAAGCTGGACTCTTCCCTAACTTTTAATACAGTATTTTTAAGCATGTATCTAAAGGCTTTTTAATGTTTTATATGATTATTTTAAACGTCTATACGTCATGTTTTTTTTAATCTGAATAATTTATCATGCTTTTTAATTTGTATTTTAAATATTATAAGCTGCCTTGAGTACCTTTATGGGACACAGGTGGCATAGAAATGGTATTAATAAATGAATTAAACGAATGAATGAATAAATAAATACACATTACTGTGGAGTAACAAACTCCTGACCTTTAGCTCAACGGACAGGTACCAAATTCACAAAGCTATGTAGCCAAAACGAGATTAGACCACTGTAATGCGCTCTACGTGGGGTTACCTTTGAAGTTGACGCGGAAACGCCAAGTGGTGCAAAATGTGGCGGCCAGACTCCTTAATGGAGCGAGAAAATACCACAATATTTCTCCTATTTTGGCCGCGCTGCATTGGCTGCCCATTTGGTTCCGCGTTGACTTCAAAGTCTTGATGCTTACGTATAAAGCCCTAAACAGTTTAGGGCCTCGATACTTGGTGGAATGCTTACTCCCACCAAGCTCTACCCATGTCACTCATGTGGGTCAGGAGGTGAGGCTGAGGAGCCTGACGCCGAGGGAGGCTCGGAAGGAAAAAACAAGAAACTGGGCCTTCTCGGTGGTGGCTCCTCGCCTCTGGAACAATCTGCCTCCAGAGATTTGCGTGGCTCCCTCACTGGGTACTCTAAAAAACCAATCAAAAACATGGATGCTTAAGTAGGCCTTCCCTCCAGTTAATTCCTGATTCTCTCCCCTCCTTTCTCTATTGTGATTAATTTTTGTATGTTCTCCATCTTGTAGAATTGTCTAATTGTGTAATAATTCCTTTTTTATAATTCTTCACATACAGTATTTAGTGTTGTAAGCCGCCTAGAATGGTTGCAATGACCAGATAGGCGGGATATAAATAGAATAAATAAAATAATAAATAAATAAATAAAGAATCTGTACTGTAAAAATAAACAGATGCCTATCTTACAAAACTTTGCAGAGCAGACATGTACCTGGAGTATGAAATAATATACAGTTAGTAAACTATGCACTGCAATTAGCTATCCAACCCAGAGAATTAGAGCAAGAGGAAAATACAAGGCTAGAGATGGTATGTGATTTTTTTATATAATTGTCCTCCAATGGAAGGCTATTCAATTCAGCTTGCTGTCTACCATTAGAGCCATATTCCTGGCCACGCCTCATAAACATGCAAGGATCTTTTCAGACATCAAATACTGGTATAGAATAGTTGAATAAATGCCTGAATCACAGAACTTTTTGCTGTAATGACAGGACTGGTAGGCAAGGTTACATTTTTATGCACACTTTCTGAAGAGGAATTTTCTGGACCTACTGTGTAAGTACAAAGGCTAGGACCGCTCATTTGATAATTAGAAATAACCAGAAACAACAATCAACGGGAATTCATGGACAAGTCATTATAATTATAGGAAGTACTTGTTCAAGTAGAAGAAGAAGAAAAAAGAGAACATCCACACATCTCCAGTGTAATCCCTCATCATCTTTATTGTTAACACAAGTTTTAGAAAATTGTGCCACAGCACAGATTTACAATAGCTGAATTATAATCAACAAGGATGGTAATACTCATATTAAACACTGTGTGACACATTCTAAAGGTCTGAGTTACTTTGGCAAACGAGGGATCTGAAACCTGTAGCTTCCAGCAAAAAATAAACCAAGGAAAAGCACCCTCTTTTCTTTATGCAGCAAAAGATTTTTATGAACTTTTTTGGTGGGAGGGAGTAAAGAAACCTTGCATGGTTTTTTGGATGTTTCATGGTCATTCTCCCCCACCCACGAAAAAAACAGCAACCCATACTAAATTATTGTAACTCCTACACAAAATGGCATCTTTTTCTGCTCTTTCTTGCGTCTGTTTGTCTGTTAAGATCATCTAGAGAGGCCTTTCTCTCGTCCCACCATGCTCACAGTTGCATTTCATGGGGACACAGTAAGGGGCCTTCTCTGTTGTGGCTCCCAGACTCTGGAACTGCCTCCCACAGGAGGTCAGGCTGGCCCCACCTTTGCTGTCTTTCCAAAAGCAGACAAAGACCTTTCTCTTCAGAAAGGTTTTCTTTTTAGGGATTGGCTATTAGAGAAGGTTTTATAAAACTCCATTGAGTTTTATGCCTTGCTATTTTGAACCTGGTTTTGGTGTTGCTTCTGTTTACCATTATTTATTGTGATTTTTTAAAATTATTTCTATGTTTACTGTTCTTACCTTTGGTGTTGCTTCTGTTTACCATTATTTACTGTGATAATTTTTTTAAAAAAAATATTTCTATGTGTACTGTTCTTAGCCTTTAAATATTGTATTTAAATTATGTAAGCTACCCTGGATTTAAATATTGTATTTTAATTATGTAAGCTACCCTGGATTTTTTTTTTAAGGAGAAAGGCAGGGGGAAATATTTTAAAT